CGAATATGATTTGATATGATGATGACAATAAGTTTATCTCATTCAATTCAAATTTGGCCAACATAAAAAAATACAATATATTTTCACGGCCTTGGTGCTCTAGTGGTTACTTCCGATACACCGCTTTACTTTCTGTAGTCGCGGGTTCGATTCATCGCTCTGTGCAAACATTTGTATTCATGAGTATGATTGTTTGTATCGGTTTGGGTGTTTTCTACGTATATTATGTAAGTATTTACAAAACAAAAAAATAACTAAGTATTGATATCTGTTGTTGTGTACCCAAAACACAAGCTCTGCTTACAGTGGGAGTAGATGGCGCTGTGTTCATTGTCCTAGGTTATTTATTTATTTTCGCATATTTGTCTGAGTTCGTATTCTAAGAAGTCTTAGAGTCAACTTACTTAGACTACGTTATCTGTGCTTAGGCTTAAATATAATATCAAGTATATGGAGGTATGAAACGTCATTGCGACAAACATCAAATTGTTGAGGTCACAGTAGTTACGGGGGACCCTTGCTTGAAATGTATCTGGATACATAAAGGTTATCATTTGACTACTTATTATTGTTTTGGGTATTCTCTTAACCTCCTACAACGGCAACATGTTTAACTTAATCGTGAGTTAGTAATCCATAGTATATACTATCTATATTATACTATAATAAATTTCATTCATTTTGCTTTTTTTAGATAAAATACAGCCTATGTATTGACACGTGATGCAATTTATTTCTAACACGTTAATTTCACTGAGGTCTGTTCAGTAATTCTGTGAAAAGGCAATAGATAAATAGACATAGTTTCGTATTTAACGAATGCCAATCGCTTGACAACGAAGAATTCTATTATATATCTAAAATTTATGATATACAAAAAGGTTTTACATCTTGAGTTTTCGATGTGTACTAGACAACTGATAGAAGGATTTAAAGTTGTTGTTTGGAAATATGATACGTACATGATATACATATAAAATACCCAGACCAAAAATACTAACAAGTCACGAATACAAATGTTTGAATCGTATGAGGAATCGAACCGGGACTATTTTAAGTGCGGTAGTGTACTAAATCGTTATACCACCGAATAATATTATATTTCAAAACTGTATCTATAATTTCTATTATAACAATATTGGATGATATCAAATTAAGTATTAATAAACAATAAAGAGCATTAGACACCACATGAAAGTTCAACAACAACAACATCATTCTTTGGCATATACCTAAATATTATGAGAGGAAGTTACGGAACAAAATTATCAGCAAAGCTCCAGAATAAATTTTGAAGATTTAATAAAACAACGAGTTAGTAGCATCGCATAAAGGGGAGTTCAATGATTTCGCGGCTTGATTGAAATTTGTTTCAATCTAACGGGCGAGCGCTGTCAACAAGGAATTAAATTTGTCGACGAAACGTTGGATTTTTCCGTTAGAAACGTTTGGATATACTTGAATCAGTAACAAAAGTGGAAAGAGGCTAAATTATCGTTAATCGATTGTTGACATCATTCTGAAATATGGAACCGCCCAGGAATCATCCATATTAAATTTATTAAAGGGTTGTACATTTATTATAAGTATATTAAATGTACGACCTAAGCAATATTAAAAAACAGTCTTTGTTTCGCACTGGTGATCTAACTATGAGTGAAATAATGTTAAATAAATTTAGTATTGTTTGAGTTTATTCGTTACAGAAAAAAATCTTTCAAATACGTTTTTCTTCGTCACTCTGCTAACTTATATTAATTTTACTATTTTATTTACATTAGTTTATGTTCATTTTCTTGCATGTTCTTTTTGCGATCAGCTCTTCTTCTTCTACTTTTCGAATGAGTAGTAAAATCAAAATAAATAATTAAATACGTACTAAAAGTGCTCATATTAGGTTTATATGAATAATGATTATTCCTACTTACTTTTTGTAACAATCGTTTAGATTTGTGTTTTTTTTTCACATATTGACACTTAGATTGTGGAATGAACTACCTTGCGAAGTTTCCTCGAGAGACTACAGCGTGGGGTTATTAAAGAAGGCTGTATGTAGGTTTCTTAATTGACACTCCTGGTGGTTCAGGCGTCATGGGCTACGGTAACCGTTTACCATCAGATAGGCCGTATGCTTGTTTGACACCTGCGTGGTAAAAAAAACATATAATTTCATCTCTATATAATAATTTATTGTATTCTCTGATGTCACTAGTTTTATAATGGTCGTATTGTGAGTAATCAGTCTTCTCTTTCTGATCCGGACTAGTAATCCGCTCTATAACTACTTTATTAAACAAAAACGATTACTCCCCTATGTGATTAGTCATATTTTTATTCATACAATCAAAGTAGGGCTTAGTCTGACTTCACAAACAGAAAACCTTTAATACATGTGTATTTGGGCTTCATATCCATACTAACGTAGACAACTTTTATGAATTTTTAGCTGTAGTTCGTGTGCTTCAATCGGTCTTCAGACGTATCCGTTGCGTTTGTGATGTATAGTCACAACCCTCGCCAAGCTTTTCTATTTGACTATTGCATTATTAAAAGAGAAAATATTACTAAAGTAAAATTTTAATAATTTGAACAGAAAATTTAGCCAGTGATTTTATGCTAAGTCCAGATGCACAAAATGTAATCTAAGGGATATACTCGTACATTGCTATTTAAATTCAGCTAGACTTGGCTGAGAGTAACTTTCAGCTTAAGATATTGGAATAATGCAGAGAAATAGAGGTAACATAAACGCTTTAATCTCGTTAGTAGTATTATAATTTTGAGAATGTTATTGGATATATTACCATTGATTTAAATATAACTTCGAATTTCTTTGGATGTTTGAATATTTTCGAAAGTTAAATAATACAGACATTATATTATTATTCAATTAAAAATTTATTTATTTATTTATTTATTAGGCATTACTATGCTTTTACACGTGTAGAGAAGGCAGATTGCAATATTAAAAAATAATTGCGACTCTTTAGAAGAAATAATTTATTTATACATCTATATAAATACAATTAAAATAACACGGAGTTAGATTTTTACATTATAAAAACAAGTATGATTCAAATTTCAGCTCTTTGGACTTTTTATCTTGTGTTATCATAGCTAGTTAAAACAACCGATTTTATATGTATACGTACAGATATAGAAGTATTAGTTCCTGTTTGTTATGGTGGTATTGAATGGAGAGATTATTTGTTACGGAAATATAATATCATTGTCTTCTAGGAAATTTCAGTACATCTCAGTGTACTGTTCATGTGTATAAGTGATTGTTGTTACATTACATAGTTAGTCGGGAGTCATAATAAATATATTCACGTTTTATTCACCACCTTGTCTAAGATTTGAAAGGCCTACTATCTGAAACTAAGTAGGAAAATCAGTGAAAATAAATAAAGGAATGTAGTGGATATGAAGATATGAGTGAAATATTTGTCATCTCATGTGGCGCTTTTTGAATAAGATAAATTTTATCACTGGGATTTCCAATAATAAAATTTAATACAATGTGTGACCATAGACAATAATAGAAGTAAATTAACGCACTATGCTCAGCCTTTTACTATTAAATGTAAGCACATTTCATCAGTCGAACAAAAGTTTACCAAATTGTATCCCTGTAGCAGCTGGACCAGTCGCTAGTCGTCGTGTTTTGATGTTATGATATCAAACCGAATAAAACCTAGTACCCTTGGGGAGGTATATACAAGTCATAACATTTTATTATTGTTCCTAGCTAAATTGAGCAGGGCAACGATAGTGACAAGTGTTCGTAGTTAGAGGGTCAGCGGGTTACATCGATAAACATCATTTACGATGTCGAAATTGCCTCAGATATCTGCTTCGTCGGCGAAATGCTGTGAGGTCAATAACGTACCCGAGATATTCGCCTGGAGCGGTTTTATGGCAATGAACCCCGATATTGCATCCAGGGAATATTAGTGCCTACTAGTTTTGATCCGGCAACTGCCATCTTTTACCATCTTTTTCCAATATCCGTTAATATTGCCACTGGTAACTTTAGAGCGTCGGAAACACTTTCCTTAATGTTTTCAACGGCGCATACGAAGTAAGTGCGAGTGTTTGATAAGATTATGTAATGCAAGGAAAATATTGACACTATGCTTGGAAAATTACTCAATTGATTTTGACGTGAGTCGTATTTATATCAAAGATGTAATAGACAGAATTAGGTTAAGAAAGTGTTTTTAAAATTATGAGAAAGCAAATTTATTAGTTTACATAACTTTTCAAATGTCTCTGTACAAAACTCAAATCAGTGATCCGAGATAGGCTGTTCTTTTTAATGCCAAATAATACCTACCTTGTATATATATAAATACTTATTGACGGTCATAAAATTGTTATTAAAAACGTTGTTTTACAATGTTGTTGCATTTAAAAAAACTAATATCACATTTATACTCGTTTCTTATATGAGTAGATATTCATTGTTACAGTAACAATAATTACTTTTCAGTTTAATGGACTAAACAGAGAGATGATCTGCAGAAGGCTTCTGATGCTTTATTTATTAGGATATTGAATTAATTCAAATGTGTAATCTATTAAATCCACAGTTAAATATGTTTTTCAGACTCACAATAATAGATTTGTTTGAAACTTTAAATTATGTTCAATTTGTTAAAAAAAAAATATTGATTTTGATTAATTATTGATTATATATTGATATTATTGATTGATAAATTGATTATTCTGAATTAATTGGAGAATGATACTAGGTTACTTACATTACCTACTATATAAACTAACTCAAAATTTCTATAAATAGACTTTCAAAGTTTATACTCTAATTTTAATTGTAATTTCTTAATTCAAAGTTTCAATGTCTAAAATTTGAAGGTAATTGTAATTCAATATTTGCAAAAGGAGGTAAGTCTATATTTATAGGTTTCATAAAACTATATTGGATATTCTTTTTAAGTTGACGTTTAAAGAATATATTCTGTTTTGAGTGATTTTTCTAATGAAAGCAACATTAGAGTAGCAAATATAATATTGAATTTTCATGTAATCTTGTATAAGAGAATGTTGGCGTTTAGAAATTACGTCAAAGCAAATGTAAGTATTATTCATAATGTATATCACTGTAGCATTTTCGTTTCATTAAAATTGTTACATTGAATTATAAAATACAGAATTTCTTTTTGCGAGCCGTCTCCTCCTACAACAATACACATATTATGTGACATTCAAAACTGTGCATTCACATTTTAATGGAAGTTGTCAGAAGCAGTTGTTGCTCACTTACATTCATTTGCTTATGAGATATTCTGTGCTTACGCGTCGACGCATTATAAACAAGATTAGCTTAAATTTCCGAGGAAACCGCAAATTGTAATTGTTTTGATCTTTCAAGTTACACTGGTGAAGATTGTGGTCTATTATTTCTAATATATATTACATGTACTTATTTATATTAAATTATAATATTATATATTATTCGGGTAATGCTGAATTATACCAGTATATTCAAAAGGATATATGTTTGTTCATCTGACAGTATATTAAATGGTAGCCTATTAACATCAGTTTAATAAGAGCTATCACACGCTAATCATCCATATGACTAGCTCTTAAGACATTATCTAAGGATACACGCATTACTATTATTTCTCACGATTTTGATGAAATAATATTATGCAAGTATGCTACTTGGAGGTAAAAAATATATAGTTACTACTAAGGACTTATTAAATATGTAAGTGCAACGTGTGAGATAAGTGTATGAGTAATACTCAAGAAGCCTTATAGAATATGTACATATGTTAACAGGTGACAACTATTTTATTTAATTCGAATAATGCATAAATTCGCTAGAATGTCCTTTATATCATGTTCTAGACTGTTTGACTGCTTTATTTAAGATAAAGTCTATTGATTATAGAGTAAGAGTATGATTAAGAGTAAGTATCGCAGTCTTTTGAAATAGCAATGCATAAGAAGTATCATGGGTGTCCACGCAATATGATCACCATATTCAGTCAGCTCTTACGGACATCACATTATCGTGTGGGCGTCGATTGTTTGCCATTTCAACTACATACTAATTTCATTCGGATCCGTTCTAGTCCCCTTAGTCATCAAAATGTAAGAAACAGAGAATCAAACATATTCTATAATACAGTATAGATAAACAGTAAAGATTTGGTTTCAAATACCATTGATTAACATTTTCAGCTTAAGAACTTCTTCAGAAGAATATCAACATCAGCTCGATTATCCAGCGAAGATCTGTACGTGCACAGAGACAGTGATGATAATAATGCAAACACCCCTTTTGAGTTCACAGAAGCGAATTTGATGGTGAATAAGCCTATAGTGTTATAGTTTAGGTTTTGGACATGACTAACTGACATGTACCGATGTACCTACCTAACGCATTGACGTAAAACCGTAGCCCACCCGTTCTCATGGATTATTGCGGTGCTGTAGTATTATCATGGTATATGGCGTCTTGACTGCTCTGAAATTTAGTGCATGGGGTTTAATATTGCTAGATCCTTCTAATATTTTAAATGTATTAGTTCATAAATTGTTTATATTCTTGTACGTTTGTTACGCAGAGTTATTTTTTAAATTATATAGTTTTTGCACTATATAACCATCTGTTGGAAAATGATGTCGAGAGCAAAGCGCTCCCATAGCTAACACTTAACCATTGCCTTGAAGAGTCCGGGGTGATATTTCCTCGGGAATATGAAAGATGGAAGTGTGCTAAACTCTTTAGCAGTGCGTATTAAAAATATACTCTCACCTGTCACTGCAAATATATAATATGATTATGTTTAAATTAATATATATGAATATTAAAATAAATTGAGATACTTCAACAGTATCCTGAATGTTACTTTTACTCATTTCTGTTGCCAAAATTAAAGGAAACAAATAGTTTTAGAGCATTTTATGTGTATTTATGAATCTAAAAATATACACAATTTATAAATATTAGCGACTACGACTATAAAATACGTATTATAGATTATATATCTATCGGTAGGGGTTATTTCTCCTGTCGTAGCCGTATGAATAGTATCAATATAGTTTGTTTACATAGGACGCTTTCGCACGAGCTCTGAAAATGGCTTTGTTTTGCAGTGACCATTATTATGTCGGGAACAATCAATGAAAACCGGCATATCTATGTCATGGGCATGAGTAATATCAGTTTTAGGTGGCAATAAATTGTGGGTAATATGTATTGGTTAGCAGTAATCGAAACTTCAGTGACTATAATATAGATATTGGCGATATTCGTCGGAATCTTACATATGGTGTCAGAGCTGGTGTAATATCATTAGGAACTATGGATCATTAAGATAAAATATTTAAGTAGGACACAATACTTGTTGCTACAATTATTTACAATATCACAATAGACATTATGTTATTATTTATCACCTGTGATATCACTCAAGCGTAGCCAATTCAGAGAACTAATTTCTCTATGCCTCTTATCCTATTTAGCTATATAACTATTTAATCGCAGTCTACAACCGAAACATAGTTTATAAAAAAATTACTTGATGTTTGAAATAGGTTGGACTCTAGTACCGACACAGACGACTTTTTACAGGTTATCTATTTTAAAATGTCTAATTAGGTCGACAATTGATATTAAATTTATATCATCTCACAACGTACTGTGAAAGAGCCATGATTCCTATAAATACATATTATTATATTTATAAGTGTAAATAAAGACCTTTAGACACCAAGGTGTCTCAAAAATGGTAATAACAAATACAGACACTTACTTGTGTTGGATACCAGACATAGGGTAACTAATAGTGAATATACAAATCATCATTACATAGTATAAAATAAAGTCGCTCGCTCTCTCTGTATGTATGCTTAAATCTTTAAAACTACGCAACGGATTTTGAAGCGGTTTTTTTAATAGACAGAGTGCTTCTAGAACTTCCTCTAGGTAGTTTATGTATGTAATGCATGTACACCCGGGTTAAGCCGGGGCGAGTAGCTAGTATTTTACAACAATTACTGTCGTGAATCATAGAATTAATTATTCATGTCGAAATTACTCACGTTTTTGGGTTTGCCCGACTAGTTTCTGACTCAACACGAACCCTTGTTTATACTTATCATGAGGGTGTCTGAGGGTGAGGGAGTAGCAGCACACAAGTAAAAGTGACATGTTCTTAAATAATTAATTTCGTATATTTTTTTTATATAACTAAAATAGCAAACAGTCTGACGGACCAACTGATGGGAAGAGTCAATCGTCGTCAATATACAGCATTGTAGACATCAACTGGTGTCCCTCATGCATTGCCATTCCTTCACAATTTAAGGTATCTCCCGACATATCAGTATCGTATGTCGCCTTCTGATCAGAATTCAGCTGTCATAGCAAGTTGTTTGGTGGCAGAAATAGGAGACCTATATGTGACACACAACTACATATTTTTGCCTTGTTCTGACGACGTTGTAATCAATGTTTAAACCTGATGAAGTTTACCTCTGTTGGTACCATTAATAGAGACTATAAAATGTGTAAATATACTAGCTGTGCCCGCGGTTTCACTCGTTCGTTTCACTCTTTTTACGGTGATCACTTTTCAGAGAATTGCAGCAGTAATCCAGAATTATCCAGAAGGTGCTCAAAGAGCCGCCCTTGGTGCCTGTTTGGATATAGTGCAGCGACAAATTGGATGGATCCCAATATCTGCTATGCACAAAGTTGCTGAAATTCTAGGCATGCCTAGAATGAGAGTGTACGAATGGGCCACATTTTATACAATGAATAAGAGGTATGACGTCGTTTGTCTGAATAAATATAATAATTATATAAATATTAAATATAATATAAATATTTATCTTAAAAAAATGTTATATGCACAAAAATGTTAGTCCTCGATATACTATCTATCTTCACATCAAATTTGTTTAATATCAATTCAGCTGTTCCAATATCAGAAGTTCTTAATAATGAAAATAAAATATTTATATAATACCTGATATTGTAAACTGTGAACAAATTTTAAAACCATAATTGGCTATTATTATTTAGACGTTTCAGAGGAAAATACAACGTGAAAGTATGTGTAACAACACCATGTATGTTGCGTGGATCAGATATCATACTGGATGCTGTAGAACAGGCAACCTGCTGCAGTGTGGGGAGTGTTTCTACCGATGGAATGTTTGGGGTGGATACGGTGGAGTGTCAGGGCGCCTGTGTTAACGCCCCCGTAATTGTCGTTGATGATGATTATTACGTAAGGACTCTGTAGAATTGTTCTATATTAACTTTACTCCATTGCTGTAGCACACAAATTACACTTTAATTTTCTTTTTGTGAAATATTTTAGTAGAAAATTATATATATAGGCTTCAGTGTACAGATACAATTTTATACTTTCTACAGTAGAATATGAAATGTAATTTGTCAAAATTATATATAAAATTTAGTTACATAACTGAATATGTGAATAATAAAGATCTTGTTTAGTACATACTCATCCTTTTGTCAATACCAATAGAACATCTTGATCTTACAATAACTTATGTCAATCCCATATAAAGTTTAGTCTCATGGGCATTGTCAACTGTCTATTTTGACATGCCCACATTTCAGTGGGTATATTTGAATCTAACGTGGCAGGGGGCAGGCATTAGTTTTTGGTTTGACATCGGTGTTTCCCACATCGGAGAGTTAGTAAATAATTAACACAAACTATTATTTTGTGTCGCGAAAATTTGAACTAGGCCTCGACGCTCTATAAGCTATATCTTTTAGCGGAATGATACTTTGTCTAGATTATGTTGTTTATTTGTCTATAGTTATTAAATTGGACAATAAATATACTTTGGCTTTTCTTTTTTACACAGGGCATCAAATAAATTAATGTCACAATGAATAATACTAAGATTCATATTTTAATGACAAAGTTATCCAATATATAAATTTACAGGAGGACGTGAATGTATGTGATGTCCATAATATTATACAAACGCTTAGATCTGGAGGTATAGCAGCTGCAGGTCCCCAGTAAGTAGTCTATTTCGCATTTAATAATGATACTTTCACTTTCATATAAGTTATACGTAATACATACAGTACGTAATTAATCCATACATTATGTATAATCTAGATATATACATATAATAATGATACAACTAATCTTGGTGTCTTTTGCTTTGGAAGACATCTGAGAAATTATCAATTATTATTATTTATTACAACTAAAAAAGACTTTGTTATAACTTATTAGGAATAAAAACAATGATCATTAGAATTTTAGTCTGTGCGTGTTTATCTCATAAACGGCGTAATCGATTTGGATGTGGATTGAACTAATATATTGCGGTAAGCTTCACTTAATTTGTTTTAATTCTTGCAATTGGTTAACAAATAACAAAGTTATATGGATACCAAGTTGCGGGTACAGATAGTCTGTAATAATAACCCGGTACAATTCACACAGCGTCCTCGAATCAAAACAGAGCTTGTGAGAAATTCTTAAATACATTTTTTTTTTTTGTAAATACCAAGATAATACCTTTCCATACAAAACATTCAGATCGATACAAACGATCATACAATGAATACAATTATTTGCACCGTGCGAGGAATCGAAGGTACAACCATCAGCGACTTGGAAGGTGCGAACAACTACCAAGGTTGTCTAAATATATATGTATTTTCCGGTTAACTGCCAGTGTATTAAGAGGTTTCTTTCTTTAGTATGTACTATTGATATATGTTATATATTAAATGCAGAAATGGACGATATGCCAGTGAGCCGATCTATGGATTGACTACTTTGCTTGAGTGCCCGCCTCCACCTGGTTTTGGTCTTCAAGCCGCTTTGTGCAACAAATAAATGTTAATATTTATGGAGCTAACTATTAATTACTGAGATTATAATTATTTAAAAATATTATATTATTTATTAATTATTATTAATATATATATGTATATACAAATGAATTCGTCTGCATAGTTACTCTAGTCACATCGATTTCAACACTGAGGCGGCTTGCTTTGTAAATAAATAATAATATGCATAAATATTACTCAGATAAAAATAAGACAATACAAATGATCATAATCCTGATTAGAAACGTTTGCATCGTGTCAAGAATCAAACCTGCGACCATTGAAAGTAAGACGGTTGGTGTGCTGAACCGCTAAACCACTAAGGTCATCAAATTTAGGTCGTCAGATTACATTTAAATATTCCTGAATCTTATAAGATTTGTATTTCCTCTTTAAGCTCTCGTTACGATTGCTATGCAATTTATAAAGAACGTGACTCTTTTGTCCTTTACATTTTTTATATAATGAAATATCTGTTAGGATTGTTTTCTCGACACAAGTATCTTTTCCTGTAAATGTTTTTAATTTATAAATCACTACTTGGGATAATTTTACTGCATAGTATTGTCAATTTTTTAGTGTTAACATTTTAACACTTTTGTAAAATATAGCCTGAACAATCCAAAATAAATATGTTATGTTGAATATCATCTAAGAATATTATGATTGAAACTAAAGTTCTTTTATATACTTCATATATATAATTTGGGTAAAGAATTATGTATATAATTTTTAATATATGATATAAAAACAGCAGTATAAAATTTTCAATTTTCCACTTGAGGCACTCGAGTTGCGAAACACGACGAACGAATATATAATTAGTTTTAGATGACACTGGGATCATTCGGGGCTCGTTTTGTGACTGGCATCACAAGTACTTGCTTGTTGTTAGCATTTTAGTACATTTTGTACAATACACTTTGTAGTTGTTTATGGCTTGTAGCGAACGGATAAAAATAGAAGTTTTTATTCAGAAAGCTATAAATATAAGTAAAGGAAAGGAATCCTAAGAATATATTTACGTAAATGTCCAGAATTAAAGAAATAAATTCTCAAAATAATTTAATAGTACCCCCGACTTGGCATGGGTGCATTAAAATCTTTGAATTTCTCGGCTTTTCTGTATTATGATATGAATATATACATTATAATAAATAGTCTAGGTTTTCCGAATAAAATAATTAAATAAACACACAAACATTCTTCTTTAATTACTCTATCTATTACATAACAATCATAATAGTTACAATTAGTTAAAACTGTAATGTTATGTGAATTAATCTGCCTAATAAGTACAGCAACAAAGTGTTTTATTAACGGTGTATCAAGACTATTCATAAATGTTTTTAAATTATTTTAGTGTTCTGATAAATAAGGATGCAGTTTTCTTATCATGCCCGTTGCAGTTGCATGCGTGCAGTTACAGAAACGCGGCATTACCATCAACACTTTGTAACAATTATTACACTGTATATACTATAGAATGTTGTATAACATATAAAAAATTTGACAGTAGGCTCTAACAAAATGAAATTAAACTCTTTTGCTACACCTCAGCTATGAGCTAACATATTACGGAATATTAGCCCTCGCCGCCTGCAATAAAGCCCTGCTTTCTCTCTCTATGTCCATATGTTCCCTAAGGTCATATAAAACCTAGATACTTAAAATGCGTCACTTGCTTAAGTGCTCTACTTAGGACTTCTCCCAGTGAGCAGTATTTCAGAACCACAAGTCACCTGTTATCTGACTTAAAGACCAGGTGGTCGCTTTCTTTATATTATATACGAGATCATGCGTAACCACGTACATAAATAATATAATGACAACTTAAACTAACAATATATACATAATGTCACTGAAAAATCTGTTACGATAAGATTATTTCGTACTGTTTTTTTATAAGCTTGTCAGAAATATTAGAAATCCCTTTAAATAATCCGTACGTCATCGGGGCGAAATGCTAGTCTCGTATTGAACTGTACCCGATTAATCTTTACTCCCATAAATTTAGGTACGAATTGGGCGCCACTATCTGAAATGGTCTATCCCGGTTTGTAATAAAGTAGGTAGTTACCAGAAATCACTACTGATATTATCCGTGCAGCTAACTTTAATTACAGGTGAAAATCTATCGGGCAAAATCGAACACTTCGCATTTACTCTATCTTTTCAGGATTTCAGAATAGAGGATATTATATTCCTGTGCACTTTAGAGTGAACTCTATTTTATACATATGTAAGGAAACATTTAATGTTATTAATAAATAATTAGCAAAATACTTTATAAATTTATTTTAAAAATGGATTATAAATCAATTTTTTTAATAGATAGAGTGATTGTAGGGGAAGGTTTATATATATATATATGTATATATATAATACAACCACGCGAAGTTGGGGCGAGTAGCTAGTTATATATATATGAAAAACCATATCGTAATGTAAAATTTTCTGTAATATTTTGTTTTACGAAACATACAGAGATTTCTATTATAATATATTATTTGCATTGTGAAGGCGAAGAGGTGAAGACCTTCATATAGACCTTAAAAATATGTATAATTTGTTTATATAATCTGGAATATAGTAGGTTTTCAATAATGTTATTCCATATTTTGTTTTTCATATATACTCCGATCCACTAAGGAGACAGACGAAAATCTAACTCTCACTCACGCATACGCATATATCGATATTTCCGTGCAGATATATATTAACATAATTAATTCGATATTGGTCTATATGCTGTTGTTTCTATTTTTTGAGATCTACACATTGTGCATATCTTAATGGAAGGTATGACAATAGATTATATCACAAGTCGATGTCGTGGGTTACAACAAGTTATTCTTATTTGCAAGTGTATTAAATATATTCAATTGGACTCAAATGTATTAGTGAATAAAAGAAGACCAAAGGAACAAAAAAGGAATCAACTACCCCAAAACCCACATAGTTTAATATAATTGTATCTATTATCTCTAAAAATAGGCAAAAAATGATAATATTTTAGATTTCAAAATAATATTCTAAATTATAACTCAGTCAATGCTGGAAATGAAAAACACTCTTTTACGAATTAATTAACGAGATTACCTACCCTATAATTCCACAAAGCAACATGTTTGTTAAAACCTCTGTAGTCGCATTTTTATAAAATAAAGCCTCGTTTGAGCGATATAAAATTTTGCCGGAAATATCATGTTTTGGACAGGACTCGTTATTCAATTATGGCATGTAATTGAATTTCTTTTATACATTAAACCTATTTTTTGATCTAACTCATAAAATTAACTCCTTTGTATATCTCTTTATGAGATTTACTGAAGTTGTATGTGCTATAATTGATATATGTGTACAAAATTGTTGGGTTGAAGTTTCGATTGTTACCTACTAGTTGTTACCGCGACTTTGTCTAATACGTTTAGTCTCTCTTTGTAATAAATGTTTTTTTTGTAACTGGCAAGTGGCAATCATTGCCTATATGAATAGCGCTACGATTATATAGGCATCCATGTAGCCTCCGTAGTGTAAAACCCTCAAACATTGCTTTACCGTATGATTAAGATTTTACTGTCATATCTCACCTTCTAACCGAAACACAGCTTACAAAATAACTGACGCAGCTTCTGACATAAAGCTTAGAAGACTTTGACAAATTCTGCCTTTCGTAAATCTATTCGTCCAATTCATATATGTAACAAACAGACACACGGATTTATAATATTTGGCATAAAACAATACGGTATTGAAACTAATAAATAGTTAACTTTAACGACAAAGTTTTCTTGGTAGCAACATTAGAATTCAAGCAATCATGGATGGCCCATTAAAGATATAGTCAGAAACATTGTTTTTTAAATTGTTTAATGATTAAACAGAACTTATTATATAAATACATTCGCAACTGAGTAATCTGAGACTAAGTCGCAGAAATAAGCTAGTGTATTATAAATATATAATACTCATTCGATCATTATAACTGCATTCATCTATAAACATAAAACGAGATATTAAATTTCATTTGAAATGTTATAAAAATAACGAAACACTCTCGGCAGATTATCTGCACGTCCAAACAAAATATCTGTCGTCTGTCATCTCACATGAAATTTGAATATCCGGCATGCAAATATTTTAATCATACCGGAATTTTGCTGGTGCACGGTGGCGGCAAATAAAACGTTCAAATATTTGGAAGAGTAGCAAAAAGATAATGTGGTAGTTAATGGTGGGGCCGGACGTCGTGGCCGTGTTGTTATTGCTTTAGGAAACTGTATTGCACATCATTATGTAATGTACAGATGTGAAAGGTATATTTTGTTTGATATTGTAATATAGAGATGCGTATTTGTTGGTGTTTTACTATTAAGACAATTTGTACTCACCGGTTCGGTCGTCTATTTAGCACTGTTGAAATTACGATGGTTGTAGGTTCGATCTCTTAGGGTATAAACATTTGTTTTCATGAGAATTTAGATTAGATTGTCTATATTTTTATGAGTTCTTTTATTCCATGTATTAACGAAAAATTGTATTTCTATCAGTTGTCTAATATTCATAACACACGCTCCTTTTAGGTTGGGATTAGATGGAAGTGAAGTTAAATAGATGCCAACATGATTTATGTTCAAGATTGTAATTATACAAAGCACTACCGACTCGTTTCTCATTTCAGGTGAAATTTCCCTTAGATGGTAACAATTGCATTATTTAGTTCATTTAAACGTAATACCGTCTTTTTTTTCTACACGCGGTAATTATAAATGATTTCTTTTTTAAATAGAAGTTACAATGAAAATATTGTATGATGCAAGTATGCTAACATAATAAAGAATCTTAAACTACTATGACAATTCACGGGCAGACAATTTGAGTCCATAATTTGTTAAATGGCTATCCATTTAATAAATTATGTACTCAAAGTGTCTTGAAAAAAAAACTCAAATTGGGTTTATTAATTTTTTAAATAGTAATTTCTATAAATTACTATTTAAA